AGGATTCTACTATTGGATAGGCAAAACAATATCTGTGCACTTCAATATCCAGAAACCTTGGGTCAAATTCATTTGTCGATTACTTTCTTCTTTTAGCTAAAGCATTTTTATTTTTTTAATGTTTTGGCCCTTTTGGGTGTCAACTTTGAAGTTTCTCTGAAAACTTTAGACAAAGGTGTTATTTCCATTTTGGGTCCCCTCGGGGTTGTCAGTACGCAGTTCGATGATGATGATATCTCAAGGCCATCGCCCTTTTTTTTTGAAATGTGTATGTGTGTGTGTGTGTGTGTGTGTGTGTTGTGTGTGTGTGTGTGTGTGTGTGTGTGTGTGCTGTCTCTTATACACATCTAGATGTGTATACGCCCCCGCCCCCACCCCCCTCCCCGTCTTTCCCCCTCCGGCTTCCGGGAGATTGAAGGGGTCGTAGAGGCAATCGAATACCTTCTCCACACCTCCAATCGTGTCATTTCCTGGAAAGAGAACTGGGTGAGGCTTTTTTTTTTTCTCCCAATTTCTTTGCGAAGAACACATACCCCCCCCTCCCTCCCATCTTTTTTTTAATTGCGGGGGGGCCATGCTAACCTTCTCTGTATCGCTCCAGTTTTAACAGATGTCCTGCCGAAGGACCCCTCCCTCCATTTAACATCCCCCAAGTTAACATTTGCAGACTTTTCTGCGGAAACTGCTCTTTTTTTCTCCGGGAAAAAAACACGGGAGAAAATCAAGTTTAATTAAGTCTTGAGTATGAAATTTGAATCTTTGGTGGGTTTGTTTTTGCCTGTGTGCGTTCTTTCACCTGTTTCTTTATTTCTGTATATGTTTTGTGCCTTTCCCATCATTCTTCTTTCCCTCTGTCCCATCCTGCCATGTTTTCCCAGATTTGTTTCCCAAAATGCGCTCGTAAATTGTCATTCGTATGCTAAAATCTGTAATGTGCGCCAGCAAATGTTGAGCTGCTGAGATCTGTGATGACAGGAGGATTTCTTCTCTCTCTATTTTTTTTTTTTGCTTTTCATCCATCAGAAATTCTGAAATTCCTAATCCGTGCAAGTTATGTTTTTGTGACGGTTTTTTTTTTTTTTTTGTGTGTGTCTATTTTTTTTTCTTTCACCAGGTGACGACAATGCTTCCCTTGCTGAGAAGGGGTATTGGCATTCATCACTCAGGGCTTCTGCCAATCCTTAAAGAGGTTATAGAAATCCTCTTTCAGGAAGGTCTCCTCAAGGTAAAATAGGTTGGAATCCAAAACCCAAAAACAAGAAGAAAAAAAGAGAAAGAAGAAGAAAAAAAGTAGGAAAAAAAGAAGGAAAAAAAACTTTAAAAAAGTAGAAAAAAAGGAACAAAAAAGAGGGGAAAAAAGAATTAAAAAAAGAAGAAAAAAAAAAAAGAGAGGTTGAATTGGTAATTTATTTTGGGGGCTTTGCTTGTTTATCACCTGTCCTCCTCTGCTTGCTTGTTGATTTCAGTTATCATTTTTTATGAAGGCGTGCATTCAGTGCATTGTTATTTGGGGGCAGTTTTCTTTGCTCATGGTTCACACACGACACCCGTTGTGTTCACCTGTTGTGTTGATAATGCTTAGCTAGGTCTCCCATGTCATCATCTACCTATTGCATCCCTACCATATGCGTCTGCTCGTTCATCAAGGGCAGACTGAATCCTCAGTCTTCCCTTACTTTCCAAGGTATTCCACAGCTACCAGAGTTGTCGTCACTGGTAGTTTAAGGCGAGCACTTGCTGTGGGCGTGCGCTGGGGTATTTGTGTGGGACAATGGGTTGCAGCGCCAAAGTGGGACGATAGGCGGTGCTGCTGATGTGCAACAGGGTTCAATGAAAGGTATTGACACTCCTCAATTAACGTACCAACATCAGCAGTTCAGTCTTTCTACTGGCGAGATGTTACAGGCTCCTCAAAGGGTTGGTGCAAGAGTTCGATTTTGGACCCACAGAGAAGTCTCAAATCATTTTTACTGTGTTTCCATTTTTACTGGGCTCCGAGTTCCATTCCATTTTTACTGGGATCCAAGTTCCATTCCATTTTTACTGGGATCCAAGTTCCATTCCATTTTTACTGGGCTACAAGTTCCATTCCATTTTTACTGGGATCCAAGTTCCATTCCAAATTTACTGGGATCCAAATGTCATTATTACTGGGATCGAAGTTCCGATTTGTAACCGCCATTTCTTACTTACGCTGGCAAGAATAGGAGGGTCGATCGACGGTGCTATTTGAGTTGAGGAACTTGAGGGATCTCTGCCCTCCCATGATCAGACTGTAGAGGTGCAAAGCCTCCTGATGAGTCGGTGAAAGTCCGACGAAACAGTGTGACTCAGTCAATCTCAGAAGAAAGGAAGCCTTCACATGAGAAGTTGTGACTGGTGACTCGTGAGTCGGTGAAGTCCGACGAAACAGTGTGTCTAAGCTTTTTTTGTTCTGAACTTCTGAGGCAGAGAACATTTGCTGTATGGTTTGCGACTCAAAAGTTTTCTGAGGTAATTGACGTCCGAGCGTTTTGACAGTGTGCATGGACAACCTTTTGCTGAGATTGTTCTCTCCTGCTGCTACAAGAAGGGTTGTGCGATGGTGCCAGCTGTGTTGGTCATTGTGTCTGTCGTCTCAGCTGTGCTTGTGGCGCTATAGCTGTGTCAGCAGTGCCATTGTTTGTGGTGCCAGCTGTACCTGTGGCGGCGCAGCTATGTCGGTGGTGCCAATGTGTCTGTGGTGCCGGCTGTCTTGACCAAGGGAGTGGAGAGTCGGGAAAAAAACATGGAAGAAGAAGAACAGAAAGTCCCCGAGAGTCCCGGAGAGTCGGGGACCACGGGGCCTAGCTCTGTTGGTACACCCTTGAACTGTTGAAATAAAGTCCCGAGTTCGAATCCGAATGAATCTGGGTGAATAAAAAATTTGGTGATTTCTGTATGTACATGTACTACATTCTTACCACCAACGATAATGAGAAAAACTACGATTTGATTCAGCTAATTTATGAAGATCATCTTCTCACCCC